TTATTTGCTGACGATATGATAGTGTACATAAGTGACCCCAAAAACTCTACCAAAGAACTCCTACAGCTGATAAACACCTTTAGTAACGTGGCAGGATACAAGATCAACTCCAAAAAATCAGTGGCCCTCCTATACACAAAGGATAAAGAAGCAGACAGGGAAATCAGAGAAACATCACCTTTCACGATAGCCACAAATAGCATAAAATATCTTGGGGTTACTCTAACCAAGGAAGTGAAAGACCTATTTGACAAGAACTTTAAGTCTTTGAAGAAAGAAACTGAGGAGGATACCAGAAAATGGAAAGACCTCCCCTGCTCTTGGATTGGGAGAATCAACATAGTAAAAATGGCAATTCTACCAAAAGCAATCTATAGATTCAATGCAATCCCCATCAAAATCCCATCAAACTTCTTCACAGACCTTGAGAGAACAATAATCAAGTTTATATGGCAAAACAAAAAACCTAGGATAGCCAAAACAATCTTATACAATAAAGGAACTTCAGGAGGCATTACCATCCCTGACTTCAAACTCTATTACAGAGCTACAGTATTGAAAACAGCTTGGTATTGGCATAAGAACAGAGAAATGGACTTTTGGAATCGAATAGAAGACCCAGATATTAACCCACAAACCTATGAGCACCTAATTTTTGACAAGGGAGCTAAAGGTATACAATGGAAGAAGGATAGCATCTTTAACAAATGGTGCTGGCATAACTGGATGTCAACCTGTAGAAGGATGAAAGTAGATCCATATCTATCACCATGCACAAAACTCAGGTCCAAATGGATTAAAGACATCAACATTAATCCATCCACTTTGAACCTGATAGAAGAGAAAGTGGGAAGTAATCTACAAGATATAGGCACAGGAGGCCTCTTCCTTTAGTAGGACCCCAGTAGCACAGACAATAAGAGAAACAATGAATAAATGGGATCTACTGAAACTGAGAAGCTTCTGTAAAGCAAAGGACACTGTCAGTAAGACAAAAAGGCTGCCTTCTGACTGGGAGAAGATCTTCACCAACCCCTCATCAGACAAAGGTCTGATCTCCAAAATATACAAAGAACTCAAGAAACTAGACACTAAAACTCTAATTAACCCAATTAAAAAATGGGGTACTGAACTGAACAGAGAATTCACAACAGATGAACTTCGAATGGCCAGAAGACACTTAAGGTCGTGTTCAACCTCCTTAGCGATCAGGGAAATGGAAATCAAAACCACTTTGAGATACCATCTTTCACTTGTGAGAATCGCTAAAGTCAAAAACACCAACGATAGCCTATGCTGGAGAGGATGTGGAGAGAGGGGAACACTCATCCATTGTTGGTGGGAATGCAAACTTGTGCAGCCACTGTGGAAATCAGTGTGGCGGTTTCTCAGGAAACTGGGAGTCAACCTCCCTCAGGACCCAGCAATTCCACTCTTGGGAATATACCCTAGAGATTCCCTAACATACTACAAAAGCATTTGTTCAACTATGTTCATAGCAGCACTATTTGTAATAGCCAGAACCTGGAAACAGCCTAGGTGCCCCTCAGTAGAAGAATGGTTAAAGAAGGTGTGGAACATATACACATTAGAGTTTTACTCAGCGGTAAAAAACAATGACATCTTGAATTTTGCATGCAAATGGATGGAAATAGAAAACGCTTTACTGAGTGAGGTAAGCCAGACCCAAAAAGAGGAACACGGTATATATTCACTCATAAGTGGATTCTAACCATAATTAAAGGTCTTTGAGCCTATTATTCGTGATCCTAGAGAAGCTAAATAAGAAGATGAACCTGATGAAGATTATTTAGCTATCCTCCAGGCGGCAGGAAAGAGTCAAGAGTCCCAGGTAACCTCGGGTGCATGGGGGGGAGGTGGGAGGGTTGTTGGAAAGGGAGAGGGTTAGAGAGAAGGGAGTAGGGGAGGAATGGGGAAAGCTCGGTTGACCGGGATGGGGGGATGGAGGAAGGATGAATATGGGATCAGGGAAGAATATATTTCAACTAAGGGAGTCATTTTAGGGTTTACAGGAGACTTGATTATATATGGGATCCCAGGTCCAAGGAGAGATCCCCAGATTGTTCTCTGGACAGAGGAGAGTGTGCCTGAACCAGCCTTGGCCCATAACCATACTGATGAATATTTTGCTTATCACCATAGATCCTTCATCTGGCGATGGATGGCGATACAGACAGAGACCCACATTGGAGCACCGGACTGAGCCCCGCAAGGTCCAAATGAGGAGCAGAAGGACGAAGAAAATGAAAAAGGAAATAAGGACTGCGAGGAATGCTATCACCCACTGATACAAGGGGATGGATCTAATGAGAGTTTACCAAGGCCAGTTGGACTGCGACTGAACGAGGAAATGATCCAACCAGATTCTGTGAATGTGGCCGGATTCTCTGAATGTGGCTGGCCTGGAGTCTTTCTGAAAAGCCATTGACAATGACACTGGGACTTGTTTCCTCTGCATATACTGGATTTTGGGGATCTAGTCTGTTTGGATACTCACCTTCCTGGACCTGGAGGGAGGGGGGAGGAACTTGAATTTCCCACAGGGCAGGAAACTCTGACTGCCCTTAGGGACGAAGAGGGAGGAGGAGAGGGAGTGGGGGGAGTGGGAGGGTGTTGGGAAGAGGGGCGTAAATGGAAACTTTTATAATTTAATAAAATTACTTTCAAAAAAAAAGAATGCAAACTAAACTGGTCTTCAAGTATAACCATCTTCATTGAAGGCCAGAGGGGTCTGACTGGACACTCGACAATTGGTTAACTTGATTCATTGCCTTTTAGCATTTTAGCCGAGAACAGCAGCATTCAGGAACCAGTAATGAGAAGAAACCACACGAGTGAAGCCGCTTCAGAGCGGGGTACATTTTGAAGGAAGTAATGGCTTGGGGGAGGGAGGCTCGTGGGAATTCAGGAAACAAGGATTTCAGGCTACTCAGAAATGGAAGTAGGAGGCTACGAAGGAGCCATGGGATTACCTAGGCCTGTGGTTTGTTCTCTCAACACAGTGTAACCCTCACTACCAGGGGCGTTTGTTTGCTGGAGCTGGGAAGACAGAGGGCTGCTGATGAGAGACTGGTGGTCTTTGCTTGTCACTAAAACCTTCCTCTCTGTTCCAGCAGAAGTCTAAAGCAATGGTCTTCCATTTTTATTTTGATTTAAGAGGGCCTGGGAGAGATGGCTCTGAGGTTAAGAGCACTGCTGCTCCTGCAGAGGTCCCAGGTTTAGTCTCTGGCACCCACATGGCGGCTCACAACTGTCTGTAACTCTTGTTCCAGGGGATCCATCCCTTTCTGGCCCCTGAGGGCACCAATCATGCTGTACTATACATACACACAGGCAAAATGCTCAGGTGAATCCAATAAGAATTAAAAAAAAAGATTTAGAGGGCAGCAGAGTGTGGTTCGGTGGCAGAGCTCATGCCAACACTGGGATTGGTCCCTATTGGTCCCCCAAACTTAGGAAGGTCTGTTAACCTTCCTCCCATTCTAAAACTGATCTTTACCTTTTTCCTAAGCTCTTTGATTGCTCCCAAGGATGTGTATTTTGGTGGAGTGTGTCTATGCTTCAGAGCTGCCAGCTCGGCTCCGTTCAGTTTGTAGAAAATATAATTTGCAAAGCCACCCTCATTGGCGAACCAACTTACCAAATCAAGCCATTTCCTATGCGGAGAGTCTAACTGTGTGCTGTGGTTCAAGGTTACGGTGCAAGCGTGCGTGGCTTCCCACTGTGGGACAGCCAGGAAAGCTTGAACTCAGCTGCAGCTCCTTTGCTTTTCTGTGAGACAGTGTCCCTTAGCAGACGGGCCTCGTGCTCTCTTGTCCCTGTGTCTCCCTAGCCCTGAGTTCCTGGAATATGTTGCCGTGACCATAGGTCACGTCGGGCTGCTGGAGATGTGTTCCTGTCTCCTGTAGAGCAAAAGTGTGACCACGGTAGGCTGCAGTGGATAGAAACACAAATGGCAGATAGAGCAGTATCAAGCAAGAGCACACACAGAATTCGGGATCTAGAAAATGCCCCTTTCTGATCACCCCACCCCCTCCTCCAGATGTTTCTTTGTGTCTGTCCAGTGACATCATCTAGACCAGGGAAGCCCGGAGCGTGGGACCCTTGCTTCAGTGCAGAGCCACTCAGAGACAGGCTTGGGAATGTTGGGCTTACCTCACGCCAGCTTTCCTGCCGCCTTCCCGCCGCCCTTCTGCTCCAGTCTTACTCTTCCTTAGGTGGAGCAGCCCTCCTTCTATTTAAAGAATGGCCCCGCCCGAACTAGGGCATTAGCTCAGTGCTGCAGACTCCACCTCCCTCAGTAGAGGCTGAGGTTCCCCTTGGTCTGTGTGCCTGCTGGACAGTGATGTGGAGAATTGTGTCTCTTGGTAAAGGGTCACTCTTGAATTCTCAGGACATCACGACAGAGGAGAGCCAGGATCTCGCGTGGTGACATCTCATCCTGTTCATCTTGGTCTTTTGTGCACAGGAGAAGCTTTGTGAAAGTTCTGGATCTCACAGACCAGAGCTTATTGTTCTAAGTAGCACAGGAAGGTAACCAGAAACGGAGGCAGCATTCCTGACCTGCCAGATCTTTCACCTTGTGATGCCCGTGGTTTGTGCTAGGAGATTTCGGACATGGTGACCTCAGTGTTCAATTTTAATACTACTTTAAAGCAGAATAAATATTTGATATTGAAAACTATACCTAGTTAGTTTTTTAAAGTCCTGTAATGTGTGTGTGTGTGTGTGTGTGTGTGTGTGTGTGTGTGTGTGTGTGTGTGTATGTCACAGGGCATGTGTAGAAGTCACACAACAGCTTGTGGGAGTAGCTTGTCCTTTCTACCAGGAGATTCAACTCAGGTTGTCAAGCTTGGTGGCAGGTGCCATCTTGCTCTCTCTCAATTTTCAGCTCTGTCTCTCTCCTCGCAGGTTTTATTAAAAGCTCTTCCCGACTGTGAGCTTTGGTAGTAGCCACTTTTATGTGCTATGTTTTGTAGGGATCACGAAAGAGCCAAGTTTTATTTCAAAAAGGAGGGTTCCTTACCATGACCCTCAGATTTCAAAATCGCTGAAGTGGAATGGAGCCATCACAGAGGATGATACGGTTGTCCCACCTGAGCCCCAGACCCTGCCAACACAAAGTCTACAGGAGGCAGAGCCAAAGGAAGATGCTAACCAAGAAACAGCTCCCTCGTTAGAGGCTTCCAGGGTTCCCAAGAGAACTCGATCTCATTCTGCAGACTCCAGAGCTGAAGGGGCTTCAGATGCTGTGGAAAAGCACCAGGATGTAACAAGAAACCATGTACTGGATCCCAAAGAAGCGGAGTTGGAAGCTTCTACCAAACCTCTTGCAGAGCGTGTAGACCCCAGGCTAGGAATGTCCATCATACTTCTCTAGAAAAGTGTGGCAGGTTTTATTGGTTTCATCATCATTTTTCACTACTACATTGTGTATTTGAAATTTTTTTCTTGATATTTTCTTGTGTCTCTGGCCTAGATGCACACCAGGCTGCTGAAAGTTACTAAGAATGGCTCTATTCTTAATACTCGTTATTTTGTACCGTGTACTGGTTGTACTAAGACATTGCCTTCCTGAGATGAACAGCTGCCTCTGGATTCTTTTCTCCAGAGAGACTGGCACCAGAGTCCTGAGGGATGAGGTCAAGTTGAGGCAGAAGGGGAGCAGGCTGTTTCTTTGGCTGGGGGGCTCAGCTGACTTCTGCCTACCCTCGTTTCTCTTTCTTACTGTGACCAGCAAGGGAACAAACAGCATCTCAGTTGACAGGAGGGAAAGGAAGGAGCCTTCTGGCTGGCTCTCCGTGTCCTCTGATGTCACCGCTGGCCTGTAGCAGGCACATAAGTGGAGGCTGCAGGGGCGTGTGTGGGAATCTCACTGCCTCCCACATTTAGTTCTGTTGCTCTTGCCCTAATTTATTGCTTCAGCCACTGACTGGAACCCAGGAGCCTTTTAGGAGTGCTGGAGAAGACTCCGTGACTTGTTGAGAAAGCCAGGGGATGTAGGGGGACCGTGGAAGGTGATGTGTGAGCTTGGTGGGCAAAGGGAAGGGTGGCCGCAGAAGTTGGGGATACGGCAAGGGGCTGTGATTTTTAAGACAGGAGTTTTAAATATTTTGACAGTTAAATGTGATTAGAAGTTAAAAGTTTGCTATACTGTATGCATGTAGTTAGCAATACGATAAGGAACACTTAAAACTTAAGGGGATAAATTTCATGTTACATACTTTATAGCACACTTTACAAAGGAACAGATTTTAATAGCCTTGACTGGGTTTTCTTCTCCCCAACAGTTGGATAGGCATCTTCGTAAGAAAGCTGGATTGGCTGTTGTTCCATCGTACAATGCCTTGAGACATTCTGAATATCAAAGGCAGTTTGTCTGGAAGACCCGTAAAGAGGCTGCTCCTGTGTCTGCAGCCAGTCAGGTAGTGGACAGCTGTGATGTTTCTGCACACGCTAGCCTGTTAGTAATGCGGACTCATGCGGAACTAAGAGCTGGGAGAAAGTTGGGACTGACCTAGGCCTGGTTCTAGGTTCTGAAAGACAGAGTGAGGGTTTTGCTGGACTCTTGCTTTCCCTTATGATTTACATAATTTATATAGTGATATACAGGCCTGTGCTACTGACAGGTCGCTGTGGCCTGACCCACTAAGCAGGGGTCAGGACGATGAGAATGCCGGGGGTGCCAAGTGTTCCCACACCAAAAGATTTACCTTTGAATCTTTAAATTAGTCATATTCTAAACTGTTGTTTATTTGACTAATGTTTTTGTATGATGTTTAATTTTTAAAAAAGATAGCTGTTTAGGGTAGTGAATAAATGCAAAGCACATTGAAAGTAGTCCTTGATGTCATTGCTCCCTTGAATCAGCTGAGTGATGACAGGAATTGAGTTTAGCTGTATTTGTAATTATATTTAGATTCTTAGACTTCATTATATTCTTGTGCAATTTTACTATTTTATTACCTTGCTAATAAACATTCTGTTAGTTGCTGCTGTCTTCTGGAGAGTTCTTAGCCTTTGAATTCTTACTTATGTTCTTCACTTGGAGCCCCCTGACATGACAGCTTCATCTTTTTCCTGATCTTTGTGTTTTCCTTTATAAGTCCGTGCACCCTTCCATGCCCTCCGTTCATTCTGCCTGGATTTCAGTGCTCATTGCCTGCTCTGTATCGGAGCCCGGAGAGGGCGGTAGATGCAGCAGGGCTTAACCTCTGTGATTTCACACTGGCATCTGCACACCTCTGGCCGTGTAAATTGTGGCAGCTTTGTTTAGTTGTTATATGTTTTAGGATCCTGTGAGGTGTCACACAAAGTGTTGTGTTCTCTTTTTAGGACCCAATAAATAGGACCAGTATTTCTTCTTGCTTGCTTTCAAGTGTTCTTAGATAGTAAGTGTCTCTAAAAAATACCAGCGACTTGAAAACGGAGTTTTGTTTTTGTAGAGCATTTGACCTATAGCTAGAGCTGACTCAAATCCAAGATTTCTTCACAAATTTTATGTGCCACTGAAAGCATCTTGCAGAAATGATTTTTCCATAGGATCAGAAGGACAACGTGAAACAAACCGTCAGTAGTGTCTCATCAGCAATCTGATTGCTTTCATTAGTGGGGCTTTCAAAGGGTTTCTTTGGGAAGCAAATGCTCTTTGTAAGTTCAAAGCTTTGAGGCCTGGTGGAGCTCGCCCCGCTAAAGGAGCTCTCTGCTTTTAATCAGGTGCCTTTTGTTAATAAGGTTGTCATATTAATATTGAAGAGAGTTGGAATAGTTTTGGCTGACGAGCCCTGAGATTGTGTTGTACTGATGTGTGTGGATTGGTCTATGCAAAGACGTGCTCTTCAGTGCTGCAGAGCAGCAGAGGTGTGCGTCCTGCCTGGCCCCTCCTGGGATTTCATTGTCTTTGGTGGTAATATGCTAGCTCATGGAAGCCATATTGAATATTATGGATGAAAGAAAATGTTTAAAGGAGAAATATAGTGATTGTTGAATGGTCTCTCTTGCCTTAATGAAAATGCTAAATCTGAGCACGCAAAGGGCAAGGAAAAAAATATCAGACTGAACAAATCAGGCACCATTTTATGTTGTTTCAGTAAAAGTGAAATTCTTTTTATTTAAATTGATTTTATTGAGCTCTACATTTTCTCTGCTCTCGTCCCTGCCTCTCCAGGAGCCTCCCCTTCTACCTTCTCCCATGGTCCCCATGCTCCCAATTTACTCGAGAGATCTTGTCTTTTTCTACTTTCTACTTCCCATGTAGATTAGATCCATGTCTGTCTCTCTTAGGGTCCTCATTGTTATCTAGGTTCTCTGGGATTGTGAATTGCAGGCTGGTTTTCTTTGCTTTATGTTTAAAAGTCACCTATGAGTGAGTACCTATGTCGTCTTTCTGGGTCTGGCTTACCTCACTCAATATGACATTTTCTAGCTCTATCCATTTGCCTACAAATTTCAAGAAGCCGTTATTTTTTTCTGCTGTGTAGTACTTCATTGTGTGAATGTACTACATTTTTCTTATCCATTTTGTGGTCGAGGGGCATTTAGGTTATTTCCAGGTTCTGGCTATAACAAACAAAGCTGCTTTGAACATAGTTGAGCACATGTCCTTGTGGCACGATTGAGCATCCTTTGGGTATATGCCCAAAAGTGGTATTACTGGGTCTTGAGGAAGGTTGTTTCCTAAGTTTTTGAGAAATTGCCACACTGTCATCCAAAGGGGCTGTACCAGCTTGCATTCCCACCAGTGTTAAAAAGGAAATTCTGCCAAGGAGAAACATAATCTGTAGAGCTGACAACAGTTACTTTAAGAAAGCTCATGTCTGTTCTTACTATGAAAATGTGCTTAGTTCATTATCTCACTACTGACTGGTGGGAGGAAGTGGGGAACTCTGGGAAGAGAAAATCAGACAAGGAGTGTGGTTTATTTTTGCTTAAGTAATATTTTAATCACAATTTGACTATTTAAAACATAGTAATAAGTATAGAAATTTGACCTTTGGCTACTAATGACACATGCAAAATAAAACTGCAATCATATACAATTTTGCCGTTTTGTGTATTATATAAAATTCAACTTTTGTGAGTTTTTAAGAGCAATTAAACACCTAAGTTCTGTGTCACTTAATAACTAACCAAAAATGGAGCTATTCTTTTTGTCTGTTTTAAGGTTTTCCGTAATAGAAGCCAAATTTTTCCACAATTCAAAGGGAATACAATTGTCCATGAGTCTGAATACAAGCGGAATTTCAAGGGTTTGTCTCCAGTGAAGCAACCGAAGCTAAGGGAGGGTTTGAAAGGGAACAGTGGCCTTAAGACATTGTCTCCAGAGAAGAAGGTATCTGCCAGCTCCTAACAGTCTCTTTTGTTGAGGTTCACTATATGAGATACTGAATCAAGGAGTCTAACATTCTTCCTGCTACAGTGTAGAGAGCTACACTGGAAAGCGTCCTGAGTCCTTGACAATGGACTCAGTGTGTGAGGTGTGGTGTGGATTGAACATGGGAGACTGGAAATAGAAAAGGTAACTGGGGATTGTGGAATTTTTTTAATATTATTGTTTATTGGTTTGAACAGTGATTTTTGTTTAAATTTTTGTTAGTCTGTGTGTGTGAGAGAGAGAGAGACAGAGACACAGAACAAGAGCAACGCACAGTGTGTGAGTAACACATTGTGCACGTGACCGTGAGAGGACAGCCTTAAGTCAACTATGTCACTCCACTGACCTTTCCAGAGATCAAACTCAGGTCATCAGGCTTGAGTGACAAGCTCTTACACAAATGGAGCCATCTCCCTGGCCCCACTTTTTATTGTCATCATTGTTTCCGACAGACCATTTATGTTACCTAGTCTGGCCTCTACTTTGCTATAATAGGCAGGCTTGGCCTTGAACTCCTGATCTTTCTGCCTGTGTTCCCAGTTGTTAGGATTACAGACCTGTGCTCCCATGCCTGCCTCTGAATAGTGGATATTCTATCAATGATATGAGAGTTTTCTATTGTACTGAATGTTGGGAGGAAGAAGAATGTCTAAGAAAATCTATTCAGATAGACATAACGTTTAGCCGCTTCTTGGATCTCAGAGTTGAGAAGAAAAAAAAACAATGAGAAAGGCGCAGCAAATTTGAATCTGGAAACAGCACAGCACAGGAATTAACTGCTGTGTCTGATGTGAAGCAGCCTTGGGTGGGTCTGATGGCTCAGCAGGTAAAAGCATTTGCTGCCCAGGCCTGACAACTTGAGTTCAGATCCCTCTAACTCATGTAAAGGCAGAAGCCGTGGTACTTGTAATGCCGGCATTCCTATAGAGAGATGAGACATCACAGGCCAGATTGCCTGAACTCTGAAGCTCACTGGAAAGTAAGGAGAGAGCCCCTGACCTCAACCAAGGCTTAACGTTGAGGCCTACATCGGAGGTTGTGCTCTGACAAGCTCATCCTCTCCCTCTCAGACGGGAACAAAATCATTATACACACAGAAATGAATAAACCAGGTTGAAAAGGTAAGAAGAGACTCATGAAATTCTATAAAACAACAACAACAAGACGGCAATGATGTCAAAAGCCAGCTATGTTAAGAACAGAATGGCATGTTGTGTCTTTCCACGATGTCAGAAATTACTGAATAATAACAATAAACTCACGAGCTTCACCACTACTTGTGTAGACAAGCCATTTATTCGTCTAGACCTCATTATCTGTGCTGAACAGATGATGGGTACTTATGCAGATAGGGAATCATTTTGCCCCCGCATTTACACTCAAAATGGAGCAAAATGCACTTTTTGTAAAGTGGATTCACTCAGGGCTAGGTCTTGTCTATTGGTTATAATTCTATACAATAAGCATAATACTGTAGGCTTCAGCCAACCATGATTAGCTTAGAAACAGACCACGCAAAGGAAGTTCTTAACTTCCAACCATTATCACTTGCCAGTGTTGGACTTCCCCATGACAAGCTTAATAGAGGCCTGAGTCTCAGCAGTTTACCTTGAGGTGATACCTGGTTTCAGGAATGACCACAAACTGAGATTACCCAGGCACCACCCAGGGACAGGCCATCCAAAGGAAATTCCTAACGTTCCAACCTTGTAGAGAGAGTCACCTGCCAGCACGCATTCACCAGGGCACCCCCTAGACAAATATCAGCCACTCAGGGATCTTGAGCCTTAGAAATCTCTCACCCCCAACTTTACTACTATAAAAACCCAACTCGAACTGAGCTCGGGGCTCTCCAATTATTTCAATAGGTTGGACACACAGAGAGACTGAGTTTGCAAACTTGTATAAAAACTCGGTTTCCTTGTTGGTTTTGGAGATACTTTGCAGATCTGGGCATAACAATACTAGAACCATAACTCCAGGTCTTAAAATCTGTAAGATGCCATCAATTTCTGGCATCATCTCCTTATATGGCATTTAAAAAATACCTTGCACTATGCTGAATTTAAAAAATCAAAACTTCTTTGTACGACAGTATTATCCAGTGCCCAGTACTACACAGAGTTTAAATAGATGAAGGATTTCTTTTAAAAAACAAATTTGACCTTTAATAGGATGTTGTTTTTGAAGGGGAATCCCAGACAGTGGGGCCTCCATTCTAGACCCTGGATGGGGCACCAACCATACCCAAACACCTGTTTTCACAGAGAGAACCTTTATTAAGCGGAAA